ACAGCCCTCTTCGAGAGGGCCAAAGTCGAGGGCATACTTGGAGTTCTTGATGTTCAAGACGCCGTGCTTTGTTATGGCATTGCCAAACCGGGCCGTCCTCGTGGGCCACACACAGTCGAACATGTCGGCACCCAGCGCAACACACACGACCAAGTCCTCAGGGTAGCCGATACCCATCACGTACCTGGGCTTCAGCTCGGGCAGGAGTTCGGTGCACGTTGCCACGACACGACAAAAGTCGGCCTTGGCCTCGCCGCCGCTCAAGCCACCGATCGCGATGCCGGGCGTGTCTCTGGCGACCATCTCTTTGCAGCACTCGCGGCGCATCTCGGTGTCGAGACCGCCCTGGATGATACAGAAGAGATTCTGCCGATCCGGGTTTCTGTGCGCTGCGATGCAGCGGTCCAGCCAGCGCACACTTCGGTCCATGGCCTCGCGCATCCGGGCCTTGTCCGGCGAAGTGGTGACGAGAACGTCATCGAGCTGCATCATAATATCGCTGCCAATGGTGTTTTGCAGCGAGATGGAATGCTCCGGGGTCAAGAGCATGGGAGTGCGGTCGTGCGGGCTCAGAAACCGCACGCCTTCCTCCGTGATGGTGGCCAGGGACAGCAAGCTGACCATCTGGAATCTATTGGCGAAGCCAGGTTAGCCAAGATCGAATTCGCCAGTGGTCATCGATCAAGTCGCATTTGAGATGGAGCATCGTACCCGCCACTGTCCGTGAGGATGTTGTGGTTCCAGCCTTGCAGCTTGTGTGCTCCGCCAATGGCCTCAAGGGCATCCTGACCTGGCTTCAGGCCGAGGTGGTAGGTGTTGTTGAGACAAAGACGGCATCCCGTCTCTTCCAGCTGCTCCGGCGTCAAACCCTTGAGTGAAGCCTGGGTTGCCACGGGCATGAAGATCGGAAGCGGTACCGAGCCATGTGGTAGGGTGAGAAGAGAAGCACGGGCCCGGGTTGTCTATAATAGGTTCACTCATGTTAGTGGTGGTCTGTATAACTGTCTTGTCGGGCAGCAACCCACACGGCGCTGGGGAAAACAGTAGTAGGTAGAGTTTGGGCAGCGTGGAGTTGTGTTCTTACGGAGCAACGCGCTATCAAATCAAAGGTCAAGGCAGCAGAGGACTGCGAGGCAATGACGTTGGCCATAATCCCCAGCAAGACCCTATGTCGGGTCGTGGGGTCAAGGCTGGTTGATAGGTAAGGACGGCAGGCTGGTCAAAAGGTTGGCGTATGTAGTATTCAGTACTTTTCCTCCCCTGGGCGTCTTCTTCTCAAGCGCGTGTGGGTCAGCAGAGGCAGACAGACCCTGGGCCCGGCACCGAGAAAAGATTGTTCTGCGGGTAATCTGAGATAGAGCTGAGCAAGCCTGCCACCATCACCCTTGAATGCTCGGCTGTTCCGCTGCCACTGTCGGTGCTTGCAGGCAGGCTAGGCTAGTGACCGTTGCGTGTTGCACGATCAATGCCGCGATATGGAGAGAGAAAGTGGGTTTAGGTGCTGTTAGTCGGTGTTTCTTCCAAACAAAGGTGATCCTTTTCTGCTGCTTCCCAAATAGCCACAGTAGTGCAAGCTGGAGTGAAGAAAGAAATCCTCAATATTTGATTTGGTGACTGGTTGAACAGCATGAAATTAGGGATCCTGCCGGTGTATTTTGGCAAACTGCACTTTCACACGCACTACACCAAAGAAAATCAGACGAAATCTGAGGCTGTCCATGCTTGCGAAGGCTCCGGGCTGGGCCGAGCTACATTCAGGTTAGCGGCCTTCTAGAAAGCTGTCCTGGGTCCAGGGAACCTAGCGCAGTCCCTTAGGTATGGGCTCGACAGGGAAATCAGCTTTTTTGTCCAAGACTCGATTCGCCAGCCCATCTCCAGCACGGAATACAAAATGTACGGTAATAATCCACCGACTCACTTGGACACGCCTCACATATGGAGATTGATAACCACCTCAACTTTACTCACAACTTATTCGCTGGTAATATAGGCACACTTACCCAATTGTCCAGGGGTCCCGTATGGCCAAGAAATGCAAGATCGGGAGTCTACGGGGCCAGGATCATAAGCCGCAACAGCTTTTCCGAAAGAGACCTGGTCAACTCTTCTTCTTTTGGCAATTGGCAACGGGTCCAAACCTACTTTAAGCGTGACACGCATCGCTGCGCCCGCGCAAATCGCAAAAAGATCGTACGATAATGGTTTTTCTCGCCTGTCCCTCCCCTTCAAACTCTTCCCGCGGTCCTGTCTGCTCGAATAGGAAGCCATGCGGCGACCACAATTCAAGCAACCCGTCGATTGACACGCCCCAGCCAAGCCAGTCAGGGATGGATTCCGCAGATCTGGACGACAGGGTCACGCGGTAGAGCAGGGAACACAAAAAGCAACCACTGAGTGAGTTGTTAAAAGTGAACCATGGTGCAGCAAATCACAACCATACCCAACAGACTGACACTTCCAAGGCCGTCCTTCCCTCTGTTCCCTTGAGGTCTTGTCATTTCGGGAGAAGCTACCATCACTACTCAAGTGAGTACACTCAGGCAGGCCATCAAACAAAGTTCGACCTAATCATTGCGCCGCCGTCATTCTATTCGAGCCTTCTCAGAGACGATCCAAACGTTTGCACACTTCTTCTTTCATCTGTTACCCCCCCGGTCTAGACATCTACCTGGATCATCCATTAAAGGCTGTAGCTGGCCGAGGCGTACGGGGACTTTTCGTAGGCGTGGCATGCAGGGGTCACCCTTTCAGACCTTCGACATCCATGGCCTGACCGATCTGGTCGCCGTGTAAGAAGGGTCACATCTACTACCTACTCCCGTACTTTGAAAAATTCCGACCGCCCAATATTATCATCTCAACCTGCCCCCACCTCCCTGGAGCCCTGGCAACCCAAGTTTTGCTATACTATCTGGAGGTGACCCATTCTCGTCCTGTCCTGTGCCTCTTAAAGGCTTCATCGTACGACAAATGTCTTGAGCCAGTACCCATTGGGCCACCCGACTCTTATACTCTCTTGACCTGGACACCTGATTCGCTCCCCTGGTTTGCCAGTATTCCCAAAGCGCCATGTCGCAACTTTCCTCGTTCCACCTCTTCTCTGAACTGCCGGCCGAGATACGGCTGGAGATCTGGCAGCACAGCTGCTCCCAGCCACGAGTGGTGGAAGTCAGCTACGACGCCGAGCTGGACCAGTGCACGACGGTCACGCCGCAGCCCGCCGTCCTGCAGGCCAGCACCGAGTCCCGGCGCGAAGGCCTGCGGATATACAGGCCGCTCTTCGGCACCTCGACGCACCCGGCCGGGATCTACTTCCACCCGCAGCTCGACACGCTGTACATCCCGCGGCCGCCGGCCATGGGCTACGACGACAACGCCCGGGACTTTGCTGAGCTGTGCACGGGCGCCGCCGAGGTCGTCAACCTGGCCCTCGACCACGTCAACCCGGCCGTCCGGCGGCCCTGGGAGACGTACAACAAGTACGCCCTCATGTCGAGCTTCCCCAAGGTCATGGAGGTCTACCTCGTTCTCGACTCGGCAGCCAACGACAACAGCTGCTGCGACCACCCCGACGGCAGGAGGGCGGCCTCGTCCGGGCACGCCGGCTTCATCAAGCTGGCCGAGCCGCTGGGCGACCCCACGGAGATCTGCAAGCTGCTCCAGGACGTCAAAATGTCGTTTGCGTACGAGGTCGGCGCCGACTTTGAGGCGGCGGAGAGCAAGGCCGAGGGCATCCCGGAGCCGCCGGTCTTGGTCCTCAAGGCAAAGGTCGAGACCGACTATCTCCGACTGCTGTGATGCGGTCAAGCACACGAGAAGGTTACGCGGCACTCACTCCGTCTGGGAGCGCTCAAACTGGACACCTCTGAGGCGAAGCAATCGAAGAAACAACATTGGATTTTCGAATGGTGGAAAATATTGAAGTGATCTGGAAGCCCGCCAAGCTCGCAGGGAAGATGTCTACGGAAAAATCACGAACGGCATTGTTGAGTTGTAATGAGGTCACTTATTCATGGGTCCGATAATCATCATGGACTCGGGGTTGTGGTCGCGTGTGCGACCGTGTACAAAAGAAACTGGAATTTTCAAAGCAAATAATGGATTGCATAAGGGAAAGAAGCATTGGGATAAGGGGAGTTCATACCCAGTCATTTGATCATGTACGGTTTTTGGGCAGGTGTTTGGTATTGCCGGCGTTCGAATGAGTTTTTGTTGCTGTAGATAATAGCATTAGCAGTCATCGACTGTACAAAATGTTTAATGAATGAGAAATCATATATTCCCTTCATGTGAGTGATCGAGCCTTGAGCATCCATATTCCAGCTGCTGGATCGATGGGCTCGGGTATAGGTGCATCGTCAACGAATATTTGCATGTGTGTAGATCTACATTACGCATGCGAAACAACTCGGAGCTTTCCACGCACAGCTCATTCTGTTTGATCTCCTTGACTGTCTCCTGTCGTCAAAGTGCCAAAAGATGGCCGGCACTCGAGTACAAGTGTAGCACCACCACGATCACGTTTACAGATCCCTATGAGCAGTCACGCAATTACTAAATGCCCCTCAAGAATTAGGTGCCTTTATCCTTTCCGCATCACACCAATAGATACAGACCTTTGAGGAGAAGGGCAAGAATGATCTAACCACGAACCAGTGGCACAGCTCCGATATCACATATTTGAAAATCCGGAGAAATCATAAATATCATTATGTCTGGCCATGTCCTGCAAACTTGCTTGCCATGGTCACTGACTACCAGACACTCCTTTCATTTCTTTCGAGTTTACAAACCACTAAATTCCAAGGACCACCTCGACCTGTCTCATGATTAGCCCAAGCTCCGTCATCGTGCCTGCCCGTTTGTTATACAAACGGAGTCATAAAACGGCTGGCCGTTGTTGCCCGCAGTACTCTGTAGGCTCCCGCCGGCAACGAAACCACGACCTCATTGTCGTCGCTAACGCAGCGATTTCCAACCAAGGAACAAGCAACTCCAATGGGGGTGTGGTCCAGTGGTAGGACATTCGCTTCGCAAGCGAAGGGTCCCGGGTTCAAACCCCGGCATCTCCATTCTTTTTTATATTTTTGCCTGATTTCTTTAGTGACCTTGTATTTACTGGTTTGGCTTGTTCCTTTACATTTCAATATATTCTCCTGGGCCACTTATTTCTGTGTTTTGTTTTGATTTGTTGTTCTGCGCATGCTGAGCACTCTGTAGAGAGCCAACATCCCTGTTACTGCTCCTCGTATCACTTGGATTCTGGGTTGTTTCTTTTGGCATGGTACCGTTAGATACTATGTGTTAGGTGAGCAGTGCTACCACGATTCTCACAAACGGATTACCTACTTCGTGGGTAGGTAGTCTTGTCCACTGTGAATGATCCATGGTTCGTGTAATGCGAGTATAAATCCTTCCGTTTTACACAATAGTCCTGATACCTAAATGATAGATAAGTCTAGCTTCCCTTATATTTTTCACTCGGTATCACCTTTTCGTGGCACAAGTTCAAGTCTTGTGCCTCATGAACAGAACGTCACGATTATGGGCTTTTATATGGTAGTTCACTGATTATATTTGTGGGCCTTCTTGGGTTGCTCCCTGTGGATGGATATGTTCTATCATCCTTTCCACGAACGGTCGATATCATCATCAACCTGTAGCATTACGCCTGCTCATCGATAACCATTTGTCAAATGTTCCTGCCTCCTCCATCAAGCACAATGACCAACCCTCTATTCCTCCGACACCTGGAGACCCTCGCGCAGGCCCTCAACCTTGAGCTCCTCGCCCGTGGCACGCTTGTAGATATCTTGCACATCGTCGGTGGTGGTCTCAAAGTGCGAAGTGGCGTCGTAGCTCTTGGAGATGAAGACGTTGTCCTTGCTGCCGTCCTCAAGAGGCTCGTACAGCGGGATGGGGGCACCCTAAAGACAATACTGTTAACGATACGACAGCCAGTATGCGTGTGAATACGAAGACTTACCAGGAATTGCTCCTCGATCTGGCCGAGACGCTCCAGACCAGCCTGCAGCTCGACGTGGTGGTTTGCCGAAGTCTCGGCAATGGTCGAGACAATGGCAATGTAGTAGCCCTTGGGGCAGACGTTGTGTGCCGAGGAAATGCAAGCGACGTAGATGTCGTTCTTGCGTCCGACCTGGGACTGGGGAATGATGAGCTGTGCCGAGTCGGCATCGCCGGTGCCGGCCAGGGGGTGCTTCAGCACGCAGATGGCCTTCAGGACATGGCCGACAACCTTGACCTTCTGGGGGAAGTAGCTGGGGTCACCAAGGATGAACTTGGCCTTGGTCTCGAACTTCATCTCGGGCTCAATGCCGCCCATGGTGGCCTTGATACCAACGGCCTTGCCGCCCTCGTACAGAACCTCGTCGACGGCGGTGTTGAGCATGTAGGTACCTCCGTAGATGGCCGACAGACGGGCGAAGCCCTGGGGCAGCTCGCCGAGACCGTAGAGAGGGTAGATGTAGGGGGACTTTCCGTAGCGAGCCACCGAGTTTCCGTAGAGGCGGATGCGTTCAAGGGCCTCGGGGGCCTTTCCGCTGGCAGTGAGGTAGCTGTCGTCGAGGTAGAGGGCCATGGCGTGGCCAATGAAGTCGCGAGTGCCAGTCTCGAGGCCGAACTTGTCGTAGACATCCTTCATGGAGGCCGAGGACAGGTCAAGACCTGGGTTTCACGTGTCAATCGATACAGTTTGCAGTCTGGTGGAAAGTAAAGTAAACTCACCCTTGTGTGTGCTGGCATCCTGGGCGTCGAAAGTACCCACCCACTCGATAAAGCTCTTCATACGGCGCTTCTCGAAGATGCCCATCAAGGGCGACCGCAGAGCCTCGGCGGCATCTGAGGGGACCTTGGCCACGGTGGCCTTGGAGGAGGCGCCTTGCTGGACGAAGCTGCCAGCGACCTGCTTGAACTCGAGGTAGCGGGTGACATCGGTGGAGACCAGAATGTTGGTCAGCTCTCCAGACGACATCAGCAGCTTGGGCACCAGGTCGATGTTCCAGTCTGCGGGACGGCCATATTTCTCCCAGGGCTTGGTGCCCTCCTGGTAGTTTCCATACTTCTTGAAGAGCTGTTTGGCATCGTCTTAGTGTCTTGCTCCATATTCTATGTGTTGGGTCGTGGTAGAGATGGGTGAGGTTGGTCACGGATAGGGGTTAGGGGGTTCGAGCTCGGCGAGCTGTCACCGGGAAGACAGGGATCGTACCGTCTCGAGGTTCACCGAAGCCGCCTCTCTGTAGTAAAGCTCGTCAGTGGGCGTGTCAAGATAGCAAGGGGGCATGGGAAGCGTTTTACTCACCCTCCGTAGTGGTCGTTACGGTCAATGTGCAGCACCTTCTTGCCCTTGACACTGAGCACACTAGATTACACCATGCTGATCAGCTCGCTGCTCCCGGCTTTCGTGAAAGCATCGATATCCAACCTACCCAGAAAGAATACACTCGGTCAGACCTGCGATTTGGTTGCGCGTTAGCCGTCATGTCCGTAGCAGCGATGTTGCTGTTGTCGTTCCTCTTCTCCTGCTATCAGCCGTGCCAGAGCTCCCGACCCCACCAAGGAGGCAGACGGAAGAGCAGCAGCACAGCAGAACTGCGGTGCGGGGCAGCAACTCACCGGTGCCGAGCACAATGACATCGTATTCGGGGGCGATCTCATCCATGGCTGCAATGTGTTTTGTTGTCGAGAGGGTATCAAAGAAGGGAAAGAATAGTAAAGTTAGTAGTGAGCAACTGGTAACCAAGAAGAAGAGCGCAAGGAGAATGCTTCTTCAGAGAGTGGAAGGAGAAAAAGTATCGGTGAAAGGGATGCCGTCTTGGTGTTGTTCATTAAGAGACCCCGTTGGAGCTGCGACTTAGACCCATTTTGGTGTCAACCAATTGGCGGGGTCCCGCTTCGCATTTTGGGGGGGCGTCTCCATTCTCCATTGCCTGAGATGTGTCCCAGATGATCGCCATAATCATGCAGCTATCCGTTGGTATCCTCATTCCTAATCCTAAATGGTCTCCCTAACGACTCTTGCCGCGAGGGGAAGATGAGTCTGGCTCGAGGAATTCGTTATGTGGCGGCGTCATCTATCCTCGCCGCGTATCATTCACCTCACAGCTCACCACTTACTACTCGCTACTACATCGTACTCCTCCCGGCTGGCGGCTGAACTTGATCTACTACTGCTGCTGCCAAAATATCACACTAGTAGTCTTTAGAACCCAGAGTCGCCTATCATGTGCATTTTATGGAGCTGGCTTGTGCTCGAGGACCGCAATGTCCAGAATACATTACACAATTTTACAGAGCCCGGCTCCTTTCTCTGAAGCCCTTATGGATGGCCGTGCGAATCTATTCCTTCCCCAATAGGCGTACAGACTCCTGGATTGCGCTCCGTGCGTCTCCACGCCTTATATAGTAGTAATAGTAGTAGTAGTAGTACATCTCGAAATATTGCACACCAGAATGCAATACCAAGGCTCAACGCTCATCATGTCCTCGATACGGGCTGGCTATCTGCTGCCTCCTTGGTTGGCAGGGCGGACGGGTCAATTGTCGCCTGTGCAGATGCCTGCTTCTCTTGTCCTACTACGCCCTCGGCCTCGACGGCTGGGGCTCCCGCTGCTACATCCTCTTCAAAGAAATTTGATGGTGTGTACGGGCTGCTCGTGTTGGAGAGATCGACCTCGGGGTCTTGCTCGGCCAGCTCTCTCGCATCCTCCCATGTGTAATAGCGCTCAGTGAGGGCGTGCTTGATGGACTTCATCGTCTTTGACACCTGTTTAAGGGGGGGAAGAAGGGAAATTAGCAAGGTTCCACATGACGATGATATTGGTTTGTCTTCCAATTTTCTTCTGGAAACGTACCACCCTCATCCTGGCCTTGCTCTCCTCCTCGCCAGTCTTGAACTTGAGTCTCTTCCGTTCCCTACTCGCCGTCGCGACTCTGTTCCTCTCCTTGACGCAGACCCACCACAGCTTGTGCAGGTCGTCCCAGCTCTTGTGCCGCAGCTCCTCGACCGTCCAGGAGCGGCCGTGTTGCGCCTCAGCATCGGGATCCAGCAGCGCCTTCTCCTTGTCGTAGAAAAACTCATATAAGCCGTGCTCGGGATCCGTCTTGACCTCGTCGGCCGGGTTGTACTTGGCCGGCTCGGGGAGCTCGAAGCCGTCAACTGCCATTCGTGCCTTTGTACCAGATCTGTAGATTGCCGAGAGACCACGCAGCCTGCTGTTGTCGCGCCTGGGCTTGCGCATCTCGAGGGGAGCGCTGGTCGAGAAAGGGGCCGCTGAAGACCGCGAGGCCAACGCGAGGCATTGCGAGGGGGCGCGCTGGGAGGACTGCTGCAGAATCCGACCGAAGACCGGTCGGAGACTCGTTGTGCTGGCCATTGTGTAGTCGATCGTCCGCGGCCTCGAATTCAAGGTCGTAAATTCTTTGGGGCGATGGCAGTCCAAATCTCAATTGCAGATCGAGCTGAAGCCTTGCAGGTCGCCCGCGTAAGCTCAAGCTTAGGAATTTTTCGATGTGGCGCACAGACGGCAAGCGCCACATATATGGACTGCGCCACACCTACTATAAACTCTCTTTGACTACGCAGCTTCGTGGCCTCAGTTCAACTTCGACCCCCGAGCAAAATTCGACCATCAGAATACCTTCAGTAGATCATTGTGAGCATTGAGGCCTCGTGATTCTTTTTGGACTATCGATGTTAACATTAGTATGCCAAAGGTCAAACACATCGCTCCACCACAACATGTGACAGTTCCATGATTTCAAAAGTCATCATATGGAAAATGAACAAGCCTGTCAAGCCCACATGTCTGAAGCTTCTCTTTTCAAGTATTACCCAAGTGCAGACTTAATTTTCACCTCGTCAAGTCTCGTCTCAGCCGGCTCCAGGAAGCAGATAATGACTGCTGGAATATCTAACGTCCAGTTATATCTACGATAGTGGTGAAAGTTATGACAACTGTGACATCTTGTTCCGACAACCACTAGGCCCTGTTTACTATCAATTTCAGTGTATGCTTTTGCATATCACAGATGTATAGATGGTCATCTTCGTCTT